ATATATATATATATATATATATACACATATATATATATATACAGTTGATAGATTTAAATACACATGCAGACACACATGGCGCTTGCCTCGTGTAGCCATACTAGAAACATTTGCCAATTTCCACTCCTTAATCTTCTGCAGCTGGCTTTTGTTGCATACTGGAAAATTCTAGTTCCACGTCAACCGCTGGCATTTGTTCCATGTCAAGAGAAGGAAATTCATTTTCTAATGCTGCTTTTCTCTCTTTCTTTATTATGCTTATTATCATTCTCATTCTTTTTATCCTGTTTTTTCTTTCTCATTTTCATTTTCATTATCTTTCTCTTTCTCTCCGTTTCTCTCTCTCTCTCTCTCTCTATCTATCTATCTATCTATCTATCTATCTATCATGAGAATAATACTTGGATGCCCAATGACTGCTAAAGTTCTTGTCATGAGGAAACCGCTATACTTCCCCGCTATTCACAGTCGTGTTGCCCAAGTTAACACCACATGTGGCATCCTGACTACTGAAGCTTCTGCCCAGACCACGAATTTCCATTATTTTATCAAAGTAGATGAATTATAGAGTTAGGCATGCCCGGCCTCGATACTCCAATCTCATACAGTCCAACTTGGAATGGAAAATTAAAATTGTTCATACTATCATGTTCTTCAATGTTTAGAACAACGGAGCTATTAACATTCCAGAAACAGTACCTACTGTTCCTTGGCACAGAACTCATGTATATGCTCATATTGATAAACCAGTGACCTCAAGAACGGAACTAAAACCTCATTACTTGAAATATAGAAATGGTATTCTTCATTCTCCTCATGGAACGCCTCCCACTTGGAATCTACTGTGATGCAGCAGGGATTGGTGTACTAATGCCCGATACAGATCTTGAGGAAAGTGTTTGCATTTCCAACTGGGTAAGCACAGCTGGTGTCGAGTCAGTAGCCATATTCCTTTTCATTAAAAAAGGTAGTGTGAACAGCAGCCACACCTGGTTGTCTGTACTGACAGCCAGGGTGCACTCCATAGGCTCACTACATTTAATCCAGAAAACATGGTAACTAGAAATATCCTTTACCAAATGTTTAAACTATCAGAACAGGGTATTCAAGTTTCACTATATTGGATAGCCTCTCATATAGGAATATCATGTTGTGACAGGGTTGAGCAATTAGCCAGATTAGCACTTTCCCATGAAGATCCGTATTACGCAGTAACGCCATCTCTCAATCAAATGAAAAAAAAAACGCGTTATCAACTGTCTTCGAGATTATGAGGGTCAGGTGTGGACCACTGAAGAAACGAAGAAAAACGGACATGGTAATATCTGGCAAATAAAAAAAAATGCATTCATTAAGAAAAAGCATAATGATTGTAGTTTTGTTGCCACATCTTAGCCTGTGACTTCCATCTATTTTCATTACATCAGAAATCTATGACAATTTTAGCTTTTGTGTTAAGTGCCCAGCATTCAATATTCTTAAAATACGCTTTTCGTTGCTTACTTTGCAAGAAGACGGAAATTTTAAAAGGGCTCTGTAATTGTGTTACAAGAAGGCTCGGGACCAAACAAGCCCTAATGGCGCCAAATTGAGTCTGAAAAATTACAATCCGTAACCAAAAGATAAAAAAATCTATGTACAAACTAGAAGGGTCATCACAGGTAAGTCCGATATGCGAAGCTGAGCCTCGCCCGGGCTATGAGGGGAGCCCGGCCTGTGCCGACTAATGTTGACTCGCTAACAGTGTGTCAGCAGGTGCTGACTCGGCTTACTCCTTACCCACCGTGGTGCCCAGCCACAGCAGTAACCTCCAGGCGACAATTGCAACTTCTCGCGCCTGGGCGGGGCGAGAACCGCCGATCCCTCGGATGAGAAGCCGACACGTTACCACTGTACTAGCCTGGAGGTTCATCATAGAGTATAATACTCTCTGATCTGGCTTTACTCTGTGATATTTCAATGCCTTTCTAAGAGTCGTATTGGCCTCATGTCGATCAGTAGATTTAGTGTACATGCTGATAAATAGGTGATGTCGGTAGTTCATTCTCTTGTACGCACTTCTACTTCATGAAAGTGAGGCTAATGGTACTCCAGGGAGTAGCCATAGCCATCTCCAGCCGACTTCAATCCTCGGTAGTTGAGGTAAAACCAGATGAAGAGCATATTCTGGCATTGAGACTGAAGCTTGCTTTTGGCTTCGTGTCTCTTATTGATATGTATGTCCCTTCCGATGCCTGTAAATTTGATGAGAAAGAGGCGTTCTACCCCAAACTCACGTCTGTGAGTCTGGGCGACTTCAATGCGGTATCCGACTGTGATCGAGCTGGCTACCAGATGTCTGTCGGTCCCCATGGCTCGGGAGCTGATCTTAGTAGTGAGAACAGCCTCCTTCTCCGGGACTTTGCTAGGTCCCAGAGATTGAGGATTTCTGGCTCCTGGTATCAGCACTCCAACCTGCATCGCTGGACATGGTATAGCGATACGGGTACTGTGGCCTAGG